CCAGAGTTCACCTTCTGCTCCTCCCACTGTAACTTAGCGGATCTTCACTGAAGTTACAGGGGCATGTAATACGTGGTTTTGACACACAGATGGGGTTTAAGACAACTGCCACGATCTAAAGGCCGAAGGCCCTCAGAAACTCACCACCAAAATCTAAGTTTAAACAAATGATTAAATTACGGCATCACATTTATTTGACCTCTATTTCCTATTCACCTTTTTTTCTGCTCTGTCGATGGTTTGCCTTTACTATCTTATCATTTTACTTTAGTTCAGTTACCTAAAAACCTCTTCTTTGCGTACTTTGCTGGGACGGTGCAAAAAAAGTTGCACTTCAGAGAAATGTGCGCCCCAATTTGTTTGCGCCTAAGTTGTGGATGAAGGTCCTTTTGCTGGCCTTTTGCATGTGCTAGCGCATTTTTAAATAGACTGATGCTAAAGTTATAATTGCAATGCCCTCGAGAGTCTCCGTCTAACTGTCGATGTTCTAGGCCACAGGTCCAAAGCAAAAGAAACCTACTTTTGATGTCATAATGGCAAAACGTGGGCTTGGAATGTCGAGGGTTGATTGAAGAGGATATTTCGTTTGTATTTTGTTGATTAGTAAAAGTCATTTTGACGATACTAAAGTAATCAAGTATGAATACGAGGCTATTTTCTTGACTAAAGGGTTATTAGTAAACTGTCGTTATAACCTTTTGTACTTTTATTTTGACTAAGAGAAAGAATTTGTCTCCAAGATGTGCTATACGACTTACCAATCTAAATGTTTACACTGGAGATGGGTAGGAGACCAGAAAAACCTCGCGGTCTAAATGGGCAAATGAATAGTAACTAAGTAGATTTCCCACTTTGGTTGCCCCCTCCTCCAGCAGCATTCGAGCAATGAATAGGCTTTCAGTGTTGGAGAATTAGTTCGTAAATCTTGGGCATGCTACCTGTTGGTGTCCCTGTGCACCATCTAAAACTAACCAATGTTTATTACCAAGGAGAATTTTCTATCATTCACTGAACCCTCTCCTCCTCTTCATTGCTGACCAGTAACTATTCTGACTTAGCGTTGTGTTCTAGCACCTCAAAGTGTCCGAAAATCTAATCTTCGATTTAATTTTTTTCCTCTATGTGTCGCCTATGTGAATTTATTCACTTCATTCCAACCTGATTTCACTTCTTTACTGGTTATTATGCATCTCGGTCATGACCTCCATCCAACTGTCATTCTCTGTCGATTGTCAAGCCACAGCAGTTGACATCTTGACAGTTGGGGCAGATTTTAGATCCTTAGCCTTTTGAAATGAATATGCCCACTAATAACAGTGTCACCTTCAGAAGACGGTGTTAAAGTGAATGCTGACTGGAGACATGATTTGATTTAACCTCCGCGCTACCAGCGTGGTATTCAAGCCTTGAGAGAGGCAAAAGATTAATGTCGACCATGATTTAATTTAAAAATTTATCATTTTTCCTTGACTGAGTATGCTTTTGTGCGATCCCTCTTCACTTATACTTGATGCATGCTTTTTGAGTACTCTGGATGCTGACTTTGCCTGCCTCTTGTAAATAAGACTGATATGTGGGATCTGTTAGCGACTTATATTACCGCTATCTAGCTAGAACACGTTCCATCGCAGCAACAGAAGGCAGAGCTACTGTTACCCCTACCACAGCACCAGTGCCATCTTCGGTCGACATTTCCACCTTTGGAAAGGTGTTGAGAGCTCAGCTCAAGGATAAAGTGACAGAAGTACCGGATTACACATTGGATTACGGGTACGAAGGTGGCAGTGATGACGAGGGAGCCACTGCCGAAGCGGCGTCCAGTCTGGTTCAGTCTGCAACCTATTCTGGATTCAACGGTAGTGGAGAGCCATTCGGTGACGCATTTGATGCTCTTTACGAGCTCTCCGATGCGGAACACAACTATAGAAATAATTAGTAATGCCTCACCTCTGCTATATAACATATAATCCTTGTGTGAATAATTTACTATCTTTGCATAACTTGAATAGTTCTAAAGAGTCAAGTTTAGGGAGGACTTTAAAGTATCTTTCCGTTCGCAGGTTCGTTTGACAGGATTCCATTGAGAATTTGAAGTTCAACACCTCACTCCACCTGCTTGTCTTGGGTTGTAGGGACGATGATAATCAGAAGGCAAAATCACCAACAGGTTGAGATTCCTCACGACCTAAGTAGAGACTCCTGGCTCATTCCTCTCCTGCCCACGAGACTGTTTCCTTTTACTTTGTCGAGTGACATTGTGCTGCAACG